AAAACAACTGGGAAAATGGTCTGCAGGTGCCAAAAGATGTCATAATAAAGTAACTTTGTTTTTTTGGATTACTAGTATTTCAGACATTGGCGCGAATCAAGTTAACTCAGTTAAGGAAATGTAGTTTTGAATTTTGTAATTCTTTAGAGTAGTGTTTCTAAACCCTGCTTGCATGTTAGAACCACCCAGGGAACTTTAATAATATGACCTCGTCATCTCCCCAGATATTCTGACTTGTTTGATCCCATGTAGGGTCAAGTATTGATATTTTTAGGTGTTTCCCAGTATATAGTCAGCATTGATAATCATCGGTAGTTAACTGGGGTTCCCTGATTCAGCTAAAAGATCCTGAAGAGAAGATGATTATTTAAACAAGGAGAGGTTTTGGAGATATTTGGAGTTTTTTTGTTTTTTTGTTTTTATTTTTTTAAGTAACCGACCAAATGAAACATAGTATTTTTGTTAGGACATCAACCAAGTGTGGACTCTTTGATTTCGTAAAAGGTAACAGATCTGAGGTGGATAAGATTTGGTGGTCTTCAACAAAGATACTTAAAGAATAATATCTAGCTTCAATTTAGAAATAGTTACAAGAATATATCATCTTAATTGCCACAAGCTTGCAAAGTTGTTTTGGTAGAGGGAGCCAACCATCAAATGATAGACTTAAAGCTAAATTAAATTGGATGCTGTTATGGGTTGAATTGCTCTCTGTACCCCACCTCCCCAAATTCATGTGTTGAAATGCTAGTGTCTAATATCTCAGAATGTGACTTAATTTGGAGACAGGGTTGGTACAGATGTAATTAGTTAAGGTGAGGTTATACTGGAGTAACATAGGCCCCTAATCCAATATGATCAGAGTCCTTATGAGAAGAGAAAATTTGGACCCAGACACATACAGGGGAGAGCATCATGTGAACATGAAGACTGTCATTTATAAACCAAGGAGAGAGGCCTGGAACAGATCTCTCCCTTAGAGCCCTCTGAAGGAACAACCCTGCCAACACCTCAATTTCAGATTTCCAGCCTCTAGAACGGAAAGACAACAAATTCCTGTTGTTTTGAGCTGCTCAATCCATGGTATTTAGTTACAGCAGCCCTAATGAACTAATACAAGTCCTAGTATTTTATTCATTTTTATAAGGTAAATCTAGGAAAATTTGAAATTTTGCCATGCTTTCATTTAACAGGTTAGGAACCATTTCTTGGTCAGGAATTTTAGACTGTGTGGTTATAAAAGTTTTAGGTTCCTGGTAACTCAGACTTGAGCCAGTTAGTTGCTAGTCAATCAGTATAAAATGCAGGAATTTATCACTAGCCTAGACCAGGAGCAGAGTTTCTGGAATGTGTATTTTCCTTCCATTTATGTTAACAGAGGGGGAGATTCTTTTCATACCTGAGAGGGGTTTCCTAGATGTATTTTGTATATACAGATTTTAGAGTTGGTCTCTTTGTTGTATGATTTAATAGCACCCTGGAGAATTGGAAATGAACAGCTTTGAATATACATCTCTATTTCAGCGGAATAAAGAATAGTCCATGCTTTTTGTGAAAGGAGTGAGTACCTTAGAGAAAGACAGCATGGCTAAGTCGGGAGTGATCCTGGGAAGTCCCACGGCCAAGTTTGTGATAGACTCAGATTGGAGAAGCCCTGTAAATGATACAGAAGGTCATACCTTAAACACAACACAGCTCCTTACCTTTTCTGTTTTTTTTAAACAGAGCCGAGTAAGGGGGTATAGCTTAGTGGTAGAGCATTTGGCTGCAGAGCCAAGTAAATATGCCAGTAGAGCAAATATGGCACCATGTTCAATGCTGACCATAATAGCGTGCAGGCAAAGAACATAGACCTTGGAGTCCATTTCAGTTAAGGTTCTACCACTTACGAGAGATATGACTTGTGGCAAATTATTTCCCTTCCCCTTGAGCTTGTGTGATCCCATGTAGAAAACAGACAACCCAGTGTATCTCCCTTATAGGATCTTGAGATGATTAAATAAGGTAGTAATTCATATAAAGCAATGAGCAGAATACCTGATGCAAGTTAGGTGCTAGTAGATGTTAGTTAATAGCTCTAGCAGAGGCATTGGTAGGTGACCCCTGTGCATGCTAGCCCCTCCTCCCCCATTTAGTCCATAAGAATAAATCTCTTCTATAGCAACATTATATCCTTAGTTTTAGCATCCATGCCTTAAGACATCTTAACAAAACAAAACCTGGAAATGCCCTAAGGATCAGCTAATGCTCTTCTCTAATTTAAAGTGAGGAAGATGGGGGAGCTTGGGTGGCTCAGTCGGTTAAGTGTCTACCTTCGGCTCAGGTCATGATTCCAGGGTCCTGGGATCGAGTCCCGCATCCAGCTCCCTGCTCACCAGGGAGTCTGCTCCCTCTCCCGCTGTGTTCTCTCTCTCTCTCTCTCTCTCAAATAAATAAATAAAATCTTTATAAATAAGTAAATAAAGTTAGGAAAATGACAATAGGATTAGAGAATACCCTAGGACTCATGGTTCACAATCTTTCTTTTATTTATTTTAATTTTTTTTAATTTTTTATAAACTTATAATGTATTATTAGCCCCAGGGGTACAGGTCTGTGAATCGCCAGGTTTACACACTTCACAGCACTCACCATAGCACATACCTCCCCAGTGTCCATAACCCCACCACCCTCTCCCTACCCCCCTACCCCCCCACCCGCCTCAGTTTGTTTTGTGATATTAAGAGTCTCTCATGGTTTGTCTCCCTCCCGATCCCATCTTGTTCCATTTATTCTTTTCCTACCCCTCAAACCCCACATGTTGCCTCTCCACTTCCTCATATCAGGGAGATCATATGATAGTTGTCTTTCTCTGACACAGTCTTTCTTTTTTACATGTTGCTACCTTCTAAATCACAGAATCATGTGTCTCTTCATTCTAAAGCTTTTTTTGCTTCAAAGGAAACTAAATTTCCTGCTCTACGGTTGCACTCAACATTTTTCTTAAACAGTTTAAAAGTTACTAAAATCTTTGAAGTGAAATTAAAAGTATTATTTAAGGTAAATTGAAGTAGGCTTCATTATATATAGACTGTCTCTGTTAAGGAACAAAGAAACTGGTAGCAGGGGTTGTCTCTGGGGAGGGGCACTTTTGGAGAAATTGATTACTGTTCAAACAGCATGTTCCTGGGACCTTTAAATTCTGGAGAGTACAGTAACCATTTCCTCCAGTTCACTTATTGGCGAGTAGAATTGAACAAGGAAGAAAGTCGTAACAAATATCTGTAGTTATTTGAGACTCGAGAACTATGTGGATTTAGATAAAATTTTGGAGCTACCCCTTTTAATACCCATACTCTTAACACTCACTACCCCCAGTTTCAGGAGCCAAATAGATTTGGTTTCATTTGGGTGAGGACTGCCCCTGGGAATTGCTTTGACATGCCTCTGTCTCTGACTTCGTGGGTGACCTTGGGTAGATTTCTTAATCTAATTCTTCCTCTGCCAATGGATGGAGGGGATAGCCCTATTTTTACCTGGTACATAGAGTTGTTGTAGCATAAAAATGAAATCATGTGAAAATTAAGTCAGTTTCTGGGCTCAGCCTCCTTAGAGGAGGAGGCTTAACCCTGAGTTAACCTTGAGTTTTTACAAGAGAAGTAGTGTTTCAACAAGCCATGTGTTCATGCTAGGTAGGATTGCATGTGTAGCATTCGCCTCTTAAAGAAGAGAAAAGGAAAGCCCAGTGACTATGCTTTGCTTTGGCCATTTTATAGACTTCCTCTCGTGTGTGTGTGTGTGTGTGTGTGTGTGTGTGTGTTTTACAGCACACTGTGTGAGCATCCTACTTTCTGTTTTAAAACTTAGAATTTGGAGAGTCAGTTATTTCTAACTTCCTCTTTTCTGAAATAGGAAGAAACATTTTGAAACAAAATGATCCAAATATGTTCTAGGGTTATTAACTATAAATTTCAGAGCATAGCATTCTTGAAGGCATAGATAGTATGTTTAGCACCTGTGATATCTTTTTTTTTTTTTTAAAGATTTTTTATTTATTTATTTGTCAGAGAGAGAGGGAGAGAGCACAGGCAGACAGAATGGCAGGAAGAGGCAGAGGGAGAAGCAGGCTCCCTGATGAGCAAGGAGCCCGATGTGGGACTCGATCCCAGGACGCTGGGATCATGACCTGAGCCGAAGGCAGCTGCTTAACCAACTGAGCCACCCAGGCGTCCCTAGCACCTGTGATATCTTAATGTTTAGTTGAAGTAGTTAAATTTTTAGAATAGAAGTAACATTTATTCAAGATTCGATTGTTATATCAAGATTATCTCAAGATTTAGTTGTTAAATCACTTAGAGTTGATATGCACTTGCTTAAAACAAATACTTATAAAATAAAAGAAAAAGTAGTATTTAATCTCAGTGTGTAGTGCTACAAACATTTAATTATACTCTGTATATAAGGTAATATTCATGTATTTAGAAGGTAGACACTGAATTATTTAGGGTTAAAGGAGGAATGTCTGCCACTATCAAATCGGAAAAAATAGAAATAATAATATAGAAGGATAGTGATAGACATGATCAAAAATTTCACTATCTTCTGACTAGATAGAAGATGAAAGTTAATTTTCCCATTTGAGTTAAAAGCTAGGGTTAAACACAACCTGTGTGCCAATGACAACATAATATTTATTAAACTTCTGTGTTTTTTCCCTGTCAAGCATTTGTTGAGATTTTATTTAATTGTGCATTTCATTTGTATGCCACTTTTTATGAATTAATGATATTAGATTTTTTTAATTTAATGTGCCTTAAAAGTATGCTTTTATAGGATTTTCCAATGAAAACTTGGTTGTTAAGACCCAAGATTGATAATAAATCTGGAGCCCAGAAAGAGTGTCAAGATTTAAGTAGCTGATGATAGAAAAACTAAAGTGATGTCCAATATAAAATATTTTTTGGTTGTATTTAACAAAAGCAAACACCTTGTTAATCCTTTTTCTCCCTCACCCCTGCCAGCTTGGTGACCCAGCTATTTTTCCCGCTGTAATTGTGGAACATGTTCCTGGTGCTGACATTCTCAATGGTTACGCGGGTCTAGCCTGTGTGGAAGAGCCCAATGACATGATTACTGAGAGCTCCCTGGATGTCGCTGAGGAAGAGATCATAGATGATGAGGACGACGACATCACGCTTACAGGTGTGTGTGCCTCCAGCACCTTATCTAGGCACAGTTTGGGGCAGTTTCCTTGCCCTGTGTTTTTTGGGGTGTAAGAAGTCCCTAACTTGGTGTCAAGTTAACTCCATTACCTACAGAGGCCGGAGCAGGGAGAAGGAAACTCTGTTTTCTTCCACATCTATCTGTGTTTCCTCCCCTTCCTTCTTTCCTAGATATATTGAGATGAATGTGACACACTAGAGGTCTGTGAGAAAGACCAGACCAACTGAACTTGTCAGGTTTCACTGAATGCTGCTTCTACGCCAAGCTCTGTATTCTTGATAACAATGACAAGTTGTTCGTAGGGAAAAAGATAGGAATGTTCTTCTTTTCCTGCTGTCACAGGAAGCAAAATAAGACGCCATGACCCAAATGTAGGATCAAGTACTAGGGTTTAAAGAAGATTTCTCTTCTGGTTCAGTCAGAACTAGTAGCATATTTGAAACATGAAAAGTTCATAGTGTAAGTGTGAGGCAGTGGTAATGCTGTTTTCATCCCTTTTAGAATTTGGTACACACATTTGTATTTTTATACACTTACACTGATTTATCTGGGCCAGAGGAGGTAGAGGCGTTTAAGAAAATGAATTATTGGAAGCAAAGGTTATTTGAATATTTATTTTTTTTAAATTTGAGAGAGCGAGCAAAAGAGAGCAGGAACAGGGGTGAGAGGGAGAAGCAGGCACCCCCACTGAGCAGGGAGCCTGACATGGGAGCCTCACTACCCAAGCCGAAGGCAGATGCTTAACCAACTGAGCCACTTAGGTGCCCCTGAATATTTATTCTTAAATGTAAAAAAAGAATAGGAAATTAACCTTAGTCACAGTGTTATTAACTAAACGTACACTTCGTTTGCCAACTAGGTCATCGAAAGGTCATTTCAAACTACTGACCTTTTTCTGTTTGAGTATCCTATCTATAATATTACATTTAGTTATTTCTTCTTAGTCTCTTCCAGTCTATAACAGTTCCTCTGTCTTTCTTTGTCTCTCAGTAACCTTGACACTTTTGAGGAGTGCTGGTCAAATATTGTAGTACGGAGGGTATGTGCTATGGTGAGTGCTGTGAAGTGTGTAAACCTGGTGAATCACAGACCTGTACCCCTGGGGCTAATAATACATTATATGTTTATTAAAAAAAACAAAAATTAAACAAAACAAAACAACAACAACAAAAATGTTGTAGTACATCCCTCAATTTTATTTGTGTGATGTTTTCTCATGATTGTACTGAGATAATGCATTTTGAGCAAGAATACCACCAAAATGGCATTGTCTCCTTAGGGCATCATGTTAACATAGTAGATTTTATTATTTTAAGGCAAATTTTTAAAAGTTCATTATCTCATTTAATTCTCACAACAGAAAAAGAAAAAAATTAGGTTAAATGAAATGACTTGCTTAAGATCACACACCAAGTGGCTGAGTCTCCACTGATAACATTGACAGACGACTCTTAGTTTTTGTATTGTTCTCTGTTTTTTTACAAATTATGTTCTCCTATATTCACATTTTTGTTCTGAGGAACCCAATGAAAGCTTTTTGATAAATCTAGACTGATCAGATTTTTCCTTACCAGTTAGGGAATTACATTACTCAGGTTGAGAGGTTTCCATTCATTACTGACAGTAAGTTACATGTTTTATATAACACAATGATCATCTCTGTGCATATATCTGTTGTGTAGCTCTTGGGTTTTTTGTGGTATATTCTGTCGTAACTTTTTGATGCCTTAGTGTAAGGCTACACTGTCTCTCTAGATTGGAAATGAGGGTCTCCAGTGAAGGGATATTTATTCCTGGTTTTAGTCATCAGGGTAGTCTGATGACTAAAGAGAAGAAATTGAAACTAGGGAAGCAGATCTTAGATCTTCAGAAGAAAGAATTACTTCTTTGTTCTAGTGTTTCCATTCTCTTGGGCTTGGACTTGATAGCTGATGGCAAAATACAAACAGGCTCCTTCCTTCCTGGAGAATAGAACTGGTATTGAAGGGGTCTAGGAAACAAGCCATATCTTGAAAACCAGATTTGCTATTTGCATATTTCTTCTCCCTCCTCTTTCTTATTTTCCAACCTGAGCCTTTATTTATCTTTTCCATCCTTGTTTGAGCAATGACATAAGAAAGCAAAGAATCCTTGGAGCCCTCCTAAATTCAGAGTAAGAGAGGGAAGAATGTTGTGCTTTTCAGAAACTACAGGGGGGAAAAAAGGGAAAGAAGAATTTATAAACTACATTTGAGTCTTAGGTAGCACTTTAGATGATATTAAGGAATTGTTAATATTTTTAGGTATGACAGTAACATACCGTACATACGTTAAAATATTTAGAGATGAAATAGATTCCTTCAAAATAATTTGGGGAGTGGGTGTGGGGTGTGTGTGAGGAGACCTTGGGGGCAGTAATTGGAATAGGAATGAAAGAAGATCAACCTTGTGTTGATAATGGTTAATGCTGAGAATGGATACGTGAGAATTCATTATACTATGTTCCATAATTTTGATTTTTGTTTGAAATTTTCAATAATAAAAAGATTGATTTATTTTTATGGATTTGAGGCTTATATTAGACTGCAGGTGTCATTGGTGTGCCCTGATTTCAAATTTTCCTGGTCATCACAATATTTTTATTTTTATCATCTTGACTCCTATCAAGTTTATTATATATTTGAACCTATAAAATAAATGTATAATGGTAAAATGCCACTTTTATCTGTTTATATGTTAGAGTTCCACATAAAGTTTCCTTTGGAAAAAGGTTATGGTGTTAACAATTTTTGAAAATCATTTGACCATGAGTTCTTTGTATGTGGTGATTCTCCATCCATTGCCAGTCTTTAAAGATCTAAAAATAAAATTATTAGCAGAGATGGTACAAATGCTATTTTCTCAAACAGAAGGTAACCATGATGACTATATTCATTAGTAAATCTTCTCTTTTAAATAATACTATTATGTGTCTCTTCCTATGTATTTGTTTTTATAAGTTCAAACACAATTTTTAGTAATTTATAATATCAAATGTATTTAATAAATTATTCCCTAAGTTATTATAGTGTCAATGCTTTCTGGCCTTGGTATAAATAGATTTTAACCAGTTGCTAGATCACAGCTAATCTGTTCCAGAGAAGTTTTAAAGTACATGTATGAAAAGCTTGTGGGGTTTATTATTGCCAGAAGAAATTTTTGTCATCCATTTATTGAAGGGCTGACATTTTCTTTGTTTTTAAAAGCTAGATGCACTTTTTTTGGTTTTCTTTCCTGTTTCTTGTGGGACCTACCCATTTATTTTGCTTTTCTCAATCTAAGCACTGAAGCTGAATGGAATAAACAAAGTTTTACAAACTAGCATTGATACTAAACATGTTTAACTTTCCTCATATTTTGAAATACAAAAGGTGACATGATTTCTGTATGTAGCTGTAGAATGATTTCTACTGTATAGTAAGTTAAAAAGACAAGGGTGAGGTAGCATAAATAGTGTATTACTTTTTATTTAAGATAGGAAAAAGAATATAAGTGATATGTCTTTGCTTATATTTAAAAAAAAGAAAGATAAACCTCAAAACTAATGAAAATGGTTTCTAACAGGAAAGAGGAAGGGACGGGGATAAAAAAGTAGATTTCCTAAATGTACTTAGTTTGGGGGTGCCGAGGTGGCTCAGTTGGTTAAGCCTCTGCCTTTGGCTCAGGTCATGATCTCAGGGTCTTGGGATTGAGCCCTGCATCGGGCTCTCTGCTTGGCAGGGAGCCTGCTTCCCCCTCTCTCTCTTCTCTGTCTGCCTCTTTGCCTACTGTGATCTCTCTCAAATAAATAAATAAAATCATTTTTTAAAAATTGTACTTAGTTTTGTTATTTTTACTTTGGAAACCTGTAAACATTTAACATAATTATAAAACAACACTAAGTCCAAAGGAGGAAAAATTAGCAATCTAAAAATTGAAGCACACTAAAACAAATGAAACTAATTTCATTATTGAGGGGTGGCATAATCATATAGAGAAGAATTACTTAAAGTGGTTTCTTTTGGTGGGGGGATACTCAGGTATCTCAGTCGGTTAACTGTCTGCCTTCAGCTTAGGTCATGATCCTTGCATCCTGGGATCAAGCCCCGCATCAGGCTCGCTGCTCACCGGGGTCTGCTTCTTCCTCTGTGCTCTCTCTGTCTGTCTGTCTCTCTCTCTCTCTCGCACTCTCTCTCTCAAGTAAATAAAATCTTTTTTAAAAAAAATTAAAGTGATTGTTTAAAAGATTTCATTTATTTATATATTTATTTAGGGAGAATGTGAGCTGGGGAGGGGTAAAGGATGGGGGGAGTGTAGAGGGAGAGAATCTTAAGCAGGCTCCACCCCCAACATGGGGTCCACTGTGGGGCTCCATCTCACAACCCTGAGATCATGACCTGAGCTAAAATCAGGGGTCAGACTGAGCCACACAGGTATCCCTAAAGTTATTTTTTAAGGCTGTGCATTTCCTAACAAGAAATAGCCTAAAAAGCAAAAAATTAAAAAAGCTGCTAAGGAATCTTAAATTGTTCTCAGTAATTGCAGCTTGTGTGAGTGTGTGTATATGAGATAGATGTTAGGGTAAAATCAAATAAGTAATGAAGTTAATGTCATAAGGAGCCAAGATTTATAGAGTAAGATTAGATCTGCAATTGTTAAATTGCAAAGTTAAATAACAATTTTATAATTCTCTATAAATTCTATGTAAATACATGGTAAAAATACATAATTTTAGAAATAAATTCTGTAACACTAAATTTGAATTGAAAATACTAGTATGAACTCATGATTTATTTTCTTCTTTAAAAAAACAAAAACAAAATATTTTTTAGCCAAATATGGGACAACTTAAGCATTAATAAGGACAGTAACTAATGGATTGAGGTATATCTAATATGTTTATTTTTTAACTTATTCTTTTTAAAAACTCATTTATTTTAGAGAGCGAATGGGGGGAGGGGCAGAGGGAGAGAGAAACTCAAGCAGACTCTGCTCTTGAGCGTGGAGCCCAACGTGGGGCTCAATCTCAAGACCCTGAGATTATGACCTGAGCCAAAACCAAGTTGGATGTTGGGGCACATGGGTGGCTCAGTCGTTAAGCCTCTACCTTTGGCTCAGGTCATGATCCCAAAGTCCTGGGATCGAGCCCCACATTGGCCTCCCCACTCAGAGGGAAGCCTGCCTCTCTCTCTCTCCCACTCCCCCTGCTTGTGTTCCCTCTATCGCTGTGTCTGTCTCTATCAAATAAATAAATAAAATCTTTAAAGAAAAAAAAAAGAGTTGGATGTTTAACTGACTAAGCCACCAAGGTGCCTTCCCCCTCCTTTTAAAAAAGATTTATTTATGTATTTTACAGAGAGAGAGAGAATATGAGCAGGGGGAAGGGCAGAAAGAGAGGGAGAGGAAGAGAAGCAGTAAAAAATGAGAAATAGTGGGGTGCCTGGGTATCTCAGTCAGTTAAGCATTAGCACTCTTGATCTCAGCTCGGGTCTTGATCTCAGGGTCATGAATTCAAGCCCTGTGTTGGACTCTGTGCTGGGGGGCCTACCTAGAGCCTACTAGGAAAAAAAGAAATAGAGAAATATTTAATAGTCATATTCAATCTAGATTTTCTCTGTTGATACAAAGTATATATATAAACCCAAGTATTAAGTGATGTTCAAGAGATCAAAACCTGTGTGTTTTCAAGCAACAGAGGTCTTATAGCTAACTCGTGTTTTCTTCAAATGTATTGTAGTTGAAGCATCCTGTCCTAATGGGGATGAAACGATCGAAACTATCGAGGCTGCTGAGGCACTCCTCAATATGGATTCTCCTGGCCCAATGCTGGATGAAAAACGAATAAGTGAGTGATTGTGTGCCATGATTGTTCATATTAATATACTTGGAAAAGTTACTCTTGCCATCATCCTCTGTTAAATGGCAAATACCAAGAGACCAGAGAGCATGTTTGATATGTTTTGTGTCCCAAGCACATTTTAAGAAACAATACTAGTGAGGGACGCCCACGTGGCTCAGTTGGTTAAGCAGCTGCCTTCAGCTCGGGTCATGATCCCAGGGTCTTGGGATCAAGTCCCAAATCAGGCTCCTTGCTTGGCAGAGAGCCTGCTTCTCCTCTCCCTCTGCCTGCTACTCCCCCTGCTTGTACTCTCTCTCTCTCTCTCTCTCTCTCTCTGATAAATAAGTAAATAAAATCTTTAAGAAAAAATACGAGTTGAGACACCTTTGCTAAAGTATTCAGTTAAACAAGACTTCTTTTTTTTTAATTGAAGAAGGAAATTTTTAGGAATAAAAACAATTTATTTAGTTGTCAAATAACAGATTAGGCAGAATTTATTCTCGTAACCTCATTGGTGAAAGTATTAGAGCATTTATGGCCCAAACTATTATAATTTAATGATCTGTATGAGTATTCATCAGTGAATAGGCAAAATTCATTGAAAAAATTTCTAACACCTCATAGAAGAAAACTCCTTGCCACATTATTGATCTGCTTTTAAATCCATGTTTCCTTTGGGCTTTTCTGACAAAGTGTCAAACTCGTAAATTAATTATTACTAAATGAATTTAAGATGTGGTTGAGTATTTTCTGTATGCACAGCAGTGCATTAAGCAATAATGTGATATACAAATGAACAGATAACTGTTTTTTTCCTCTCAAGTTTACAGATTAATTTTGAAGGTAGTTGTTTATGTAAAAGCCAAAAATAAAGGCCATGGGAGGGATAGCAAAGTGTTCTGGAAGAAAAGAGTACTCTGGCTGAGACTTTCAGAGACAGGCTTTATGGAAGGAATGTTTTAACCTGAACTATAAAAGACAAATAAGCTTTTAGTGGTTAGAGGAGATAAAGAGAATGGGTTGAGCCAGGGAGACAGACCTGTAAATAAGAGGGAAAATGTTTGAGATAAAAATGGTTTGGTATAGCTGAAGTATAAGGTTTGTGGTAGGTAAGGAGATGAGAGTAGAAAGGTAGGTTTGATCTAGATTGTGTGAGCTTCAGATGGCAGGCTATGGAGTTTGGCTTGTGCTTACCATCTTTTTCCTCTATAAACTATGCAAAAGGTCAGTTTTATTTTTCTAATAATTTTCGGGTATAATGTTTTGTATAGAAGAATTATATGCTCAAATCAGACAGGTTTCAGAGAATAACTTCAGCAGCAATGAGAGAAGAATGGAGAAGAGAAATAAGATAAATTGGTGATAAGAAGTCAAGAAAGAAGGGCATTGAATTAGTCCTGTCAAGCCTGTCTGACTTAGGGTGCCTAATTTCAGACAGAGGAAATAAAAAGGAAATAGATTTCAAGATTTTATTTCTACTTTAATCCTCAGAGAAATAAGAAATTATCTGATGAAATTAGTTTGATTTATAATACAAGTTTGATTATAATTAGTTGATTTTGTTTCCATTAGATAATAATATATTTAGTTCATCTGAAGATGACATTGTTGTTGCCCCAATCACCCATGTATCCGTCACATTAGATGGGATTCCTGAAGTGATGGAGACTCAGCAGGTTCAAGAGACATATGCAAACTCACCAGGAGCATCATCACCAGAACAACCTAAAAGAAAGAAAGGTGGGTGGTTAATTTGTTTAGGGCAAACAGTCCAATTTTGATGTGGAATCTAAACATAATTTTTATTCAAGGGTATTTCTACACCAATTAAAACTTACATAAGAAAAAGTGAGGGTACAAAGCATAAATTAAAAGTTATTTATCTTCACATTAGATTCATTAAAAAATCAGTTTATTTGGTGTATCCTGCAGAAATGGGGTTTTCCAACTTTTTAAAGCCTCAATTTTTTATCTAAATCCTTTTGTCCAAACTCAGAAAGAGCTTGGGTAAGGGCACTTAGTTTCTAGCTTCCTTCCACAGGACATAGTTTGAAAATCACTAGCTTAGATTCCAATATAAGATTCCAGTGGGAAAAATAATGAGTTGGAAATCAGTAGGTAAGTGATTAAAGAGGAAAATACTAGGTTTTAATTAGATTTAAATTTCAAAGGGAATTTTTCACATTTCACTCATTAGGACCATATCTGCATTCTAAAGTCTGACATTCTTTCCATCTCATTGCCTTCTGATTCTCCTCCAGTTTGCGTAATATTTTGAATTTAGTATCTTGGTTAATCACCAGCCACCCAGTAACCTAACTTCAGATGAAAGTAAGGGAAAGTCCAGGAGCCCAAAGTGAAGAGGAAAATGAAAACAGAGTGAGCCGAGGCTGCCGCATCTCTGAAGGGCATCTCAATGGGTACGCCACTCTGATTGCCCATGCAGAGGCCGAGGCTTGTGTCTTGGTCCAGTGCAAGATGAGGTCACCAGAGACTTTAGCCTGTCATCGGGATCCTTGAAAGGCTCTCCCCTCCTGGGAAAAACAATCTACCCATTGGCACAGAAAGGGGTCATGGAAGTTTATATTTCTCAGCTGGGCCTCTGAGTGGAAAAATTCTTTCTGTGAGAATTCATAATCTTAGGCTTACTTTAATCTAGATTTATGATTAGATTTTAAATGATCACTGACTTCAGAAATTCCCACCCAAGTAATTAACGTAAGAGTGACCCCAGACTGGCAATATCGTTGGGGTACTAAGGCAGAAGCTCATGTATAAAACTGTTCTGGCAAGTCATACATTTAAACCCAGGCTGACAGGATTTCCTCAAACAAAGCCCTGTTGAAGGTGAGCTCACATTGCAATGTTACAGAATACAAAAGATAGAGAATCCCTGAACGAGGAGCAGAAGACATAGAAGATTCTAGCATTCTCTAAGAACTTCAGATAAAAGAATTATCAAATAGAAACTTTGAGTGACTGTGACTACAATTATTAAGGCAAAAGAAGGAAAAACAAGGTCAAAGAATGAGACTATTACAAAATACCAGGTACAACTTCCTCTTCTGGACAAGATGGAATAACAGAACCTGATTTGGCAACGATTTGGAGATATGGCAACAAAAACAAAAATTAGTGGGACTACATTAAACTAAAAGGCTTCTGCTTAGGAAAAGAAACTATCAGCAAAATGAAAAGGCCACCTACAGAACGGGAGAAGATATTTGTAAGCCGTATATCTGATAAGGGGTTAATGTCCAAAATACATAAGGAACTCCTACAACTCAATAGCAAAAAACCCAAACAACCTGATTAAAAAATGGGCAGAGAACCTGAAAAGACATTTTTCTAACGAAGACCTACAGATGGCCAACAGGTACCTGAAAAGATACGCTCAACATCGCTACTTGTCAGGAAAATGCAAATCGAAACCACAGGAAGCTATCACCTCACACCTGTCACAATGGCTATCATCAAAAAGGCAGGAGATAACAAGTGTTTGCAAGGATGTGGAAAAAAAGAACCCTTGTGCACTGTTGGTGGGAATGTAAATTGGTACAGCCACTATGGAAAACACTATGGAGTTTCCTCAAAATATTAAAACTACAAACACCGTATGATCTAGCAGTCTTACTCCTGGCTGCGTATCCAGAAGAAATCAAAATAAGATATTGAAGAGATGCGTGCACTCTCATGTTCATTGCAGCATTAAAAAAACATAGGTGGACCTTGAGGGCATTATGTTAAGTCAAATAAGAGAAAGACAACTATTGTGTGCTATCATTTACGTGTAGAATCTGAAATAACCAAACTCGTAGAGGCAGAGAGAGATGGTGATTGCTGGGGAGTTAAGGAAATGGGGAGATGTCAGTCAAAGGGTACAAACTTCCAGTTATAAAATGAGTAAGTTCTGGGGATCTGATATACGGGATGGTAACTTTGGTTTACAGTACTGTATTATATCCTTGAAAGTTGCTAAGAAAGTAGATCTTATATGTTCACACCCAAAAAAACAAGTAGTTATTATGTGAGATGATGGTATGTTAGCTAACCCTACTGTGGTAATCATTTTACATCATAGAAGTATATCAAATCATCATATTGTACACCTTAAAAATACACAATTATATGTCATCATATCTTAATAACGCTGGAAAAAAGTTTTAATAAAGAAACCCCCAGAACTTGGATTTACCCTCCTATTAAAACAACTAAAAATACAGACAACGATGTATGAAACAGTGCCTCTAAAGACATAAGTCAACAAAAGCCAGTGATCCCTGAGAAACAGGAAACAAATGAGGTGAGCCCTATGATGACCCCAGCTTACTGCATGGAGAAATTTATTTATTTATTTATTTTACAAACAGTTTGGCAGTTTCTTAAAACATTCAGTGCATACTTAACATGTGACCCAGCCATTCTTCTACTCAGTATTTACCCAAATGAGATGAAGTTACACATTTGTAGAAAAACATCTGCATGAATGAATGTTCTTAGCAGTTTTATTTGTAGTTACCCAAAACTTGAAACAACCTAAATGCCTATCAACTGCTGTCTGGATAAACAGCTTTGTGGTGTATCTATGCAAGGAAATAGCACTCAGCAATAAAATAGAATGTACTGTTGATACATACAACAAAAACAATGAATCTCAGCATAATTATGCTAAAGGAATTACTTACACACCATATATATATGTATATGCATACATATATATGTATGTATCTCTTCATCTAAAGTTGTGGGAACTGCAAACTAACCTCTAATGACAAAATCTGTGAGTATTTGACTACCTTTGGATTGGGCAGAGTGGGAAGGGTATAAGGATTACAGAGGGGTACAAAGTACTTTTGGGGGTGAAGAGTATATTCACTATTTTGAACATAGTGATGGTTCCACAGGTCAATACTTACGTTGGAAGGTACCAAACTGTAGATTTTCAACATATGCAATTTCATTTTATGTCTGTCATACTTGAGTAAAGCTATTTTTAAGGTGAAGGACTAACATTCTAGTTAGGAAGACTGATGGGAAAGGAACCCAATAGAACACATAATATATGGGTTAAACAGAAGATTAGTCACTGTTTAAAAGAGAATTTGTGAGCTCTAATATAGATCTGATAAAGAATAAAAAGTATGAAAGAGTTTGAGATGTGAGGATTGAATGAAAAGGTCTACATGTTTAATCAAAGCTTCAGAGAGAGAGAATATGTAGAGTGAGGAAGAGACCGTATTCCAAGATAATGATTGAGAGTTTTCCAAAGTGACATAAATCTCAGCATGGTGAATCCTGAGTAGCATAACTGTCAAAGAAATCCAGGCCTAAATACATTATAGTAAAAATGCAAAACACCACCCCCCCAGCCCCCTCCAAAAACAAACAAAAAAAGAAAATACCAGGGAAAAACTACATTACTTGAAGAGGATTGATTTTTAGATTGGCAGCTTAGAAGCTCCCAGTAGAGGCTGGAAGTGTTAGGTATCTTCAAAGTATTGAGAAGAACTAACTGTCACCCAAAAATCCTATACCCAGTTCACGTAGAACTCACATGAAGCTATGCCACCTTGACTGGTAAGGAAGATGATGGAAAGGGTGGATATTGGGTAGGTTTACCAACTGTCTCTGTCTTGACTAAAACTAGTGGTGAAAACAGTGGGAAGAAGAAAATGCTATCTATCAGAAAAAGTTGGAAAATAGAAGGCATAAAATAAGATGGTAGGAGGGATGGAAGCTAACTGAAGTCTTTGCTCCTAATATTTGTTACCATTGACACAGTCACCCAGAAGTATCTGCCTCATGAATGGTTCTCTGCAGATGTCTGCAGTGATGGAAATGGAGATACCTGGCTGATTAGGTTCTCTATTTATGCATTAAGAGGGGCCTGAAGAGTTATCCTTTTGATCCACTTCTCGCTGATTCTTATTCACCCTAACTTCAGAAGGGTGTTCCTGTTTGGTTTGGGAATGTGTTGTTACTAACCTTGTGATTTTTAGCTCTGGTATTCTGTTCTGCTAAGTTATTGCCTTATATTATGCTAACCCAGAATTCATTCTTGTGATCTGGACCAGATAGACTCTGCCTCAGGAATATTAGGGTAAAGGGGCACTTGGCTGGTTCAGGCGGTACAACATGAGACTCTTGATCTTGAGCCTTGACTTTGAGCACCGAATTCCGTGGAGAGGTTACTTAATTAAAAAGAAAAAGAAAAAAGAATGCTGGGGTAAAATACACTAAGGTATCCATTTATAATCTTCATTGTTTTTTAGGTACAGAATGCTAGTCTGTTCAGATAGCATGATCATCTTAATATAAATCCCAGGCAACATTGCCACCAAGTTGTGCTTCTAGATAAATGGCCAGAAGAAGATCACAAAGCTTTAGAATAGTTGGTTGACCCAAACTAAGTCTGAACATACTACAGTTAGTGTTGTCAAAGTGGAGTTAAAGATTGAATGGCACATAACTATAATGTTTGTTTTGCTGTGAATTAAAAGAAGTATAGAAAAATGAAAGGTTTCAAAATACAGGGGAAAATAAAAGTTGACTATGTAGTTTACCAGAATTTTGCCTCATGCATTTTTTGTATCTCTAGAATTTTGGAAAGTTTCCAGTATTTAGGAACTACCTGTATGCAGATGAGAGAAAAGCTGAAAATTGACTTTTCCTACTGTAAAATACGTATATAACCAACAAACAGATAAACCTGCATGGCTTATTTTTTGAGCCCAAGTCTTATCAACATCAAGAATATTTCCCCCAATTTTAAGGAAGCCATGTCAGTTTTGTTACCTCAAAATGTTTCAGACTTAACCTCATTTTTATAAATGAGCTGATGTGTCATTTCCTACATAAAATTGTTTGTGATCTTACCTGTACTAATGATAAGTTTTCACTGAAGTTCTTTTCCTTTTGAGTAAACAGCATTTTAGGAAACCAGTATGTGTAACACTGTGTATGTGTGTAAAGTACTTGGCATTTGAAATTTTGGATAAATGACCAAATAGCATTTATAAACAGCTAAATTGTCCATTTTATCTCACTTTTGATGGCAAATCCTTACACAGAGCTGTTCTGTTTTCAGGGAGAAAAACAAAACCTCCACGCCCAGATTCCCCAGCCACTACACCAAACATATATGTGAAGAAGAAAAACAAAGATGGTAAGGGTAAGTACAGTAATTCCCTTACAATACTTACGGGTCAAATAACAGTTAGATTGCTTTAAAATACCTACATATCATAAGTAAAATCAACCAGCTCTCTTGACTTATTGAAGTGGATCTTCTTGCTGCCAGATGCTTATAAGGTATAGTTAGGGGATGCCTGAGTGGCTCAGTTGGTTAAGCATCTGTCTTCAGCTCAGGTCATAATCCCAGGGTCCCGGGATCGAGTCCCGCGTTGGGCTCTGTGCTCGGTGGGGAGCCTGTTTGTTCCTCTGCCTCTGCCTGCAGCTCCCCCTGCTTGTGTTCTCTCTCTCTCTCTCTCTCTGACAAATAAATAAATAAATAAATTTTTTTTTAAAAAAGGTAGAGATGGTACTTTCTATAAATAGATTCTGGTAATAATGGAGCCCAAGAAATCCATTTAATAGATTTTTCTTACATACCTGTCAAAATAATCTGTCCTTTAATATTGAGCCTTTTGGAAGAGTTCAGCCAGGTTAGCTTTTCAGTTCATAGACACTTTATAAGATTGTTTTGGAGTTCTGCTATTTTCATAATTGCTGCCCAAATTTGAAGAAGATTGTTAAAGCCAATCCACGGGCTCTGATACAACGAGAACAACTGTTGAAAGGTTTTGTACAACACTTCTTCATTGGTTCTTTTATGTGATGGCTCTTAAAGAGGTAGGAAAAAAGTCATCTCAAAGTGCTTTCTTCTCAAGTCATCATAAATCTAATTGCCAGTATTGATCCATCCAGACATCTGATGTGGAACTAATAAAAAGACCTATATTAGATCCTAAAAATTATCACCAGTGCTAACCAAGTTGCGTAATATTTTTGTATGATTATAGAGGGAACTTATAAAACTTTTAGTTGTGTTTACTTTTGCTCTTTTCCAGTGAAATTTTGGTCAGTTAAACAGAAATTGCTTTTGTTTCAGGAAACACAATTTATCTCTGGGAGTTTTTACTGGCACTGCTCCAGGACAAAGCTACTTGTCCTAAATATATCAAATGGACCCAGCGAGAAAAAGGCATTTTTAAACTGGTAGATTCCAAAGCCGTATCCAGGTTGTGGGGGAAGTACAAAAACAAACCCGACATGAATTACGAGACCATGGGAAGAGCTCTCAGGTACGTGAAGTTTTTTGTCGTTCATTGTGTTAAGAATATTTGTTCCTAAATACTAAAAAGCTAGGTAACTTCTAAAAAGGTAGAAGATTACAAAAATGTTGAATTTTATTATTGAAGAGCTAAAACCATGCTACTTATAGAAATCAGTTCATATTTAAATTGAAATCCTGTTCTGATCTGGGGAAATGTTTTTCTTAAAAAAAATCTTCATGCAAACAACAGATACTTTACTTGTAAAGGGATTAGAAAATGTGAACTATCATCAGGAATTATAAATTGACCATGGGGCTCATATGTTTTGAGCCCTTAAACTTGAATTCAGCACAAAATTGAGTAGCGGTAATCAGGTACTTAATAAGAGGATGCATTTTTTAAATGTAAATATCAGGTATGATCTGTATTATGTTGGAATAAATGCTTCAAGAATAATATTAGATACTGTGAACATTTTGAACTAGGTAGGTTATCATTTTATTCCGAAGCTCACTTTTAGTGTGTTTTTCTGTGATCAGGTTATCTATTCTTAAAGATATGCATTTGTTTGAGAAAGAGTTATTAGATAACCTTCTTAAACTAGAACTATTTAGTTACAGTTTGTGTGTATTTGTTTTTTTAACTCACACTTTTTAGATTCTTGATCTAATTAAAATCAACGACAAAATTTGAGTCACTTCTGTTTGTACATCATTAAATTTTATATGGAAAACTGAATCAGATTCACTGAATCAGATTTAAACTGGTAGGGACATTATAATAAACGACGGAAGGAAAATAAACTCTGGAGGTTTGTAGTAGATTTTATTATTCCAGCAAATTGGAAGAAGGGGAGACAAAGGAAGAAAAGTGAATGACTAGGATAATCCATGTGTTCTATCAACAATCCCCTCATCAGAATTGGTTTTAGGTTTAGTTGATAATAAGGATTTTTCTTTATCTGTGAGTATATGTGTTTTACACTTATATAGAAAAAAAGTTCAATTATACTATCTTATAAAAAATAACTGCTTCATTTTGAAATTCTTCTCCCACTTGTTTCCAGCTTAAAACCTTTGTTTATGATTAAGGAACTTTAATTTTGTTGAACATAATTTTAATTTATGTTTAACCAAATAAAGTATTGTTAAAATTGTCTGTTTTGAATAGGTACTATTACCAAAGGGGTATCCTAGCAAAAGTAGAAGGTCAACGCTTGGTGTATCAGTTTAAGGAGATGCCGAAAGATCTTATTTATATAGACGATGAGGACCCAGGTTCCAGCATCGAGTCTGCGGATCCATCACTGTCTTCAACAGCCACTTCAAGTAGGAACCAAGCAAGCAGATCGAGAGTATCCTCAAGTCCGGGGATAAAAGGAGGATCCACTACAGTTCTCAAACCAGGGAATCCTAAAGCTACAAAACCCAAAGATCCTGTGGAAGTTGCACAGCCATCAGAAGTCCTGAGGACAGTGCAGCCCACACCATCTCCGTACCCCACCCAGCTCTTCCGGACTATTCATGTCGTCCAGCCAGTACAGGCTGTCCCAGAAGGAGAAGCAAGCACCACCAGTAGCGTGCAGGACGAAACGTTAAATTCCTCTGTTCAGAGTATTAGGTGAGAAAACTAAAGTTACTGATGCATGTGTTTACGTGATGTTTCTGACCAGAGTCATCATTTGTTGATGACTCTGGGTCGGGATTCAGAAATGAAAATAAAAGTCATATTGATTTTTAAAGCTAGAAGTCTTGTTCAGCAGAATGGTTTCAGCAGCTGTGTGTATTACATCAGCCCTCTGATTGTATCATTGATTTCTTATTTTTAAACTTTGTCATTACTTGCTGCTATCCTATCCATTTAAATCTTGTCCACTATACCTCTGTATAATTCGATAGATCCCTACAAGAAGGGATCCACATATTAGAAAATCCAGAGAATGGTTTCAGATCCTTTTTTTTCAAAGTCAGAAGCTATAAAAATTCTACATAAGCGGACATATCATGACCTGCATTGTAGTGAGTTCCAGGAAATAACATTATTTTTTTGGGAAGATTCTATCATGGAACAGTTCTAAAGTTTAAAGAGGTAGGGAGGCCAAGAATCTAAGGTTCACTTTTTCACGCTTTTAGAGTGGCAGAAATTGGAAGAATAGTTTTTTAGCAATCAAATCAAATTTTCCTCCTAGCTCCAGGAAAGATAGGAAAAACAAATTGACCAAAGAAAACCTCATCAGCTTCAGACTGGTCTTCTGCAGAATTTGGAAGGCAGCTATGCTCACCACTATACCACCAACGCCCGCTCTTCTGCAGAATTTGGGACTGGTCTCACTGCTATGGGATGGGGGAAAAGGAGGAGGGCAGAAAATTAGATGGACGTTTGCAGTATTTTTTTCCCTTTACTATCATGAGTTTCCAGAATATGAATTATAATAAAATATAGGAGCCCTTCCAAATCCAATAAAAATGATTCTTTGAATACTTTCATTAAGTGACTTCAGTCTCACAGTCTTACATTCGAATATTCCAAAATATAAATGCCGGCGTTTTGTTCAGTTGATTTTGAAGTAAGAAACAGTACTCGGAATCAAGACAGAGTTAGATATTCCCGTCTTCCTTGTATGGTCCATTTAAACTTTTGGCATCATGAAAATTGACTTGAAAGGAGTGTAAAAATTACATTTTCCCCATTTTAACTGGACAGGAATGATAAACTGTTATGAAAGGAGTACTTATTTTTCTATTTGCCTATTAATGTTTCGTTTTCCTCTAGGTCAATTACTGGTTATGTGTGATGACTGAGTATCTAGTTGGTATGATTCCTCTCGTTGGTTTCTAGGCTCTTTGTCATCTTATCACTGTATTTCTGTTGATAGGAAACAGTACATGGCCACAGCTAATCAGAGGGGATCCCTTTCTTAGAGTGATTCCGTTATTTTTAAGCATCTGTAATCAGTTTGCTTTTTATACCTTGAGGATAAAATAAATGCCTGCCCCCCCATAAAAAAATCCCACATACCTGTAGCTCTGAAAGGTAAAGTGTGATACTGAATTGGATGCAGTGTTACTCTGAATGGCAATTTCTGATTGATACTCAGTGCCAGATATTAAAACACTATAATACACTCCCTATCCATGATTTGCAAACTCTTTTGGTGTACTTTCCAGAATTTTCATGTCCAAGGTCCCTGATTATTCTGGATTATTCTGTGGACTCCCTGCCTGCTTCCTGCCTCTACTGTTTTTTCTCTTCAGTTCAACCTATGCAAAACTCTTAGTCACAGCTTTGCTATGTTACCTTCTTGCAGCTTTTGTTAGATCTGTGTTGCACATAGAGCGCAGTCAAATTTCTGGAGCATCAGCTACCAGCTCTCACTCTCTACTCGGATTCCTTCCTTGCCTTCTAGCTAAAGCTGCCTGCTTGGGTGCACCACAGTCTGGTCAGTGAACCAGGTGTTGCCATTGACTTCAATGCCCATCTCCTCCTATACATTTAAACTGAAGGAGCCATGTTTTACTCATTGCTCTTCTCCTACCACTTAACCTCATGTCTGGCACATAGCATCCCTTCAGATGTACAGAACTTATTTTGAAATAGTGTCTATATTCATTCTGTATCTCCTCTCAGAGTAATGAGTTCTCTAAGTGGACTGCTTATATAATGAAGAAATAACAAAACTTAACTTGTCAGACTTTAAAACAAACTTCCTTGTTGAAAAATCATTTTATATTTATGTGTATGTATATACACATATTCTTCATCATTCTTTTGACTTTTAAAAATATTCTTCTTTCTTTTGGGTGTACTTCTATTTATATCTTCCCCCAAATCCTACTTATTTTAATGTAGTTAAACCTTTTATGGAATGCATTTTATTCCCTGAAATAACTAGATGAGGAAAGGCCAAAGTTAATGAATAATAATGCTCTTTGAAGACTGACACCTGCTGAATGTAGTAACTTGGGTTTTGCCATTGTTCCTTTCCATTATATAGAAAGAAAGAAAAGTCTGAAATTTCATGCAAATTGTACATATTACTCTGAAATTTTATTGTATTATTAGAATCATTTTTCATTAGATTAATTCCTTGCTTAGCACTTTATTTTTTGTCTTTTTTATAATTACTCCAAATTTTCATTATAAAACAAAATATCGACAGTTTGAAATAGTACAATGAACACCTATTTACATCCTTTTAGATTCACAGTTGATAGTGTTTTTGCCTTACGTGTTTTCACTCTGTATTTATTTATAACCTCTTTTCTGTTGGGCTATTTGTCAAGTAAGTTGACATCCTTATGACATTTCACTCTCAAACATTTCAACATCCAGCTTTTAAGAATAGAGAGATTGTCCTAGGTAATCAGGTTATCACTCCTAAGAAGGATAAGAGTACTTTGGCTATATTTTTCTTAATTTTATAACTACTTATTACTAAAATCAAAGACCACTTAAAGATTTTTTTCTGTAGCTAAGATGGAATATATATGACTTAAAATTAGATTATTAATGTAACAACAAGAACTGACACTTTCAAAGCACTCTCTGTATTTCATACACTTTTCCATATATTAATGTCTAATATCCTCACTGATCAATGAGATATAGGTAATATTATTCCTATTTTACAGATGAGGAAACCAAGGCAAGGAGAGGCCAAGGAGCCTGGTCACATCTAGTAAGTGGTGGGGACAGCGTTTTAATGCAAGCAGTTTAGTCCAAAGCAGTGAGCTTTAATGATTTGTCACCCTGCCTGCTGATTCACATAACTCTCGTGAATTACCAGTTATTTACAATGAAGTAGCAACATGTTTTTTCTTTTCTCAATTTTTCCTTTGCTTATGTCTTTTTGTCTCACATAATTGCATGTATCTATGTGGAAATCTATTAAGCTTTTCTTAAGTGATTTATGGTATATGTGCTCGATTTTTAAAAATTTTGACTTTGACTCTGACTTCATGTTATTTAAAGAGACAACTACAACAAAAGTAAACCTCTGGTCAAATCTTTTCCTGAAATTGTCCCTTGGTAAACTTGCAAGTCCATATGCCTACCTAGCATAACATCTTTCTGTATAGTATTTTCAAGTACTAATAGTTTGTGTTAGGGTCTTTTGAATAAATTAGCCTCTAAAAATATATAATGTGTAGGTTATCTTTTTTTTTTTTTTAAGATTCTATTTATCCATTTGACAGACAGAGACCACAAGCAGGCAGAGAGGCAGGCAGAGAGAGAGGGGGAGGCAGGCTCCCCGCCTAGCACAGAGCCCAATGCGGGGCTCAATCCCAGGACTCTGGGACCATGACCCGAGCTGAAGGCAGAGGCCCAACTCACTGAGCCACCCAGGTGCCCCAGTGTGTAGGTTATCTTAAAAACAAAGTAATGGAGTACGAAGAATGTATATTCTTTTGATTACTTACCAGCCCTCCATCCTTGTCGGTTATTAGATGTAACATTGGATCGGATTAATTCACTATTCTGAGTCTGTTTCCTCATCTGTAAAATAAAGATAATACTTAACTTTACAGGTGATTGTAACAGTTAAATGACATTCTTGACGTCTGAGTAGATACACAGTAAAAACTAAATGTTATACTATATATCTTTTTTCATCTCAGAAACTTTGAGGTATTTTAAATTTCTGGTATTGTAGCAGTGGTTATGCGCAGCTTAGGAAATTTGTATAAAGTAAACTATACTATAACCTTTGTTATATAATACAACATCACCAGACACAAATGACTGTTTAATCATTAACTAAGACAAAAATAATTTAAAATTTCTGTAGCAGGGAAAAGGCTGCATAATATTTTACCTTTAATCTCTGTATTTTTTATTAGTGAAAATTAGTTATTTTAGAATTTGTTCAAATAAGCCAGTATATTTACACTGTAGATATTATAGATGAGTATATGTATTTTCTGGCAGATGGCAGTCTGTTGTTTTGAGGTCTTTTTTCTAGTTTGAACAAAAGCATTGAAAGTCTAGTGGTAGCCCTGGTTAGCAATATGGAAAATTTCCAAGCACATTCTTGCTTGTACCACACCTGAGGGAGGAAAAAAGGAAGGTGGAGTCATGTATTAAAGGTGTGTAATTGCCCACAGCTTAAAGATATAATCGGCAATAATCATCTTTAGCTAAAGTTATTTAGGACTGAGGAAGTGGCAGTGTGTTGTAATTACCCTAAGGCACAGAGGCCTTGCAGTCAGATGGCCTCTTTCCTTATCTAACTGGTCACCTCGTGCTAGCTGTTCACCCTCTTTGTGCATTTAATTTTTTATATATAAAATGGGGATAATAGTACATATTGGGTGGCAAGACTATACATATTTCTAGATACAATCTGTGTGCTCACTGTACACCATGTGTACTATTTTATCTGTATATACATGTACATGAATGCTTGTCATGGGAAGCCCTTTATTTAAGAAATGATCTCTGGCTGCAGGGTCAGTTACCATACCCAGGCTCAGATTCTACCCAAGATGTCCTGATGCAGGTAGGCATGGGGGAGAAAGGAGGCACCATATATTTTGGAAAAGCTGCCTGACTCCCAAAGTTATTCTGTATTCTACCAACTCTTCCTTGCTTGACCAATAATATCAGCAGATCTGGCCTTTATTTCTAGTCATCCCCTACCCACCTATTAAATTTTCATTACCTGACTCATACTCTTTTCTGGCTCTGTCCTTCGAAAGAGCTGCTAATATCCTACTCTAGACTGATCCTCACAGTGACAACTTGGTTGGAATCTGAACTTGGAAATCAGAATCCTGTCATTGTGCATAGGCTGTAGTCATCCTCTGTCTTTCCACTTGCTTTGAGTTTCTCTTAAGTTGCTTTGAGTTTTCTTTTCATATTTCCACCTAGTCCATTTGTGTTCTCCGGAGTTTCACTTCTCACCTACATGACGGGCCACATAACTGTAACTTACTAAAATTTGCCTATAATAATCTATGTGCAATGATTAACATTTGGACTGTGGGGGCCAGTCTAGCTGTTAATCATTTGAAGTAGCAGTCATCTATTGTGTTTGTAAAATAGCTTTACAGAATCCAGAAGAAACACAATTGAGATCCAGATGCTGAGTTTTTTCAACTGCATTTGTTTTATGCTAACAGTGGTCATAACTATAATTTCCACAGCAATGAACTTTTAAAATTGGATTGACTCACAATATCATTTACAAATTTCTTTAATAACCGGAATTAACAACCTTACATAAACTAGGTTTACATTAAAGGATTTTATGTTAAATTCTATTTTTATGGCTAAAATCTGTGAAGATTAATTGAGCTGAGAAAACTGTTAAAACATGCTTCTATTTACTTTTGCTGAGCTTGCCCTTATTTTTTGCTCTCTCTGGCAACCTAAAGAACCCTCATGAGTTAATTATATTCATGACTTGTTTTGTGTAATGTGATATGAACTGTGAACTATTAAATCTCTTCTGTAAAAAAAAAAAAACCCACAAAATTTCTTCTGATAGTTCTGTCACATATACATTTAAGACTGATATGTTTTTTTAATTTTAGGCAATTGCACATTTTTCCTCTATATATAGAAAAACAGGTTGAAAACAATTACAATCCTATGAAGTTAGGTAATTGGGGTTAAGCATTGTCCCTTAAGTATTAAAAATAATGAGAGTGAATCCAATACATTTGTTTTAAAATTCCTAGTTTCCTTTCACGCGGCTCATATGTAACTTCTTTTCCAAGCATTTTGATCTCCTCCTTCCCCAACAAAATTGCATCCCCATTTGCATTAATGTGGCACTTTGCACAGACTTTTTCCCCCCTCATCAGATAGTATCACACTTAATGGCTTGAAAGTTTTGTGTCAGGCATTCCATATAATACAGGGTCTGGTATGATGTTTCTGCTGTGTCGAAGATATAGGAAGTAGCATTCCAAATGTACGACTCCTATTTTATCAAAATGACTTATCAAACATTAAAGTTTTAAATGATGTAGAATATGCTGATTTTCTGTAATTTCATCATCTCAATAGGACTATACAGGCTCCAGCCCAAGTTCCAGTGGTCGTGTCTCCTGGGAATCAACCTTTGCATACAGTAACACTCCAGACTGTGCCAATCACAACAGTGATAGCCAGCACAGATCCATCTTCGGGTGCTGGGTCTCAGAAGTTCATTCTACAAGCCATTCCATCATCACAGCCCATGACAGTATTGAAAGAAAATGTCATGCTACAGTCCCAGAAGCCGGGCTCCCCTCCTTCCATTGTCCTGAGCCCTGCACATGTGCAGCAGGTTCTTACCAGCAACGTCCAGTCCATCTGCAATGGCACCGTCACTGTGGCTTCATCTCCGTCCTTCAGTGCTACGACTCCCGTGGTGACCTTTTCTCCTCGAAGTTCACAACTCGTTGCCCACCCAGCCGGCACTGTCATCACGTCAGTTATCAAAGCTCAAGACACAAAAACACTCATACAGGAAGCGGAGAAAAAGGAAGCCGAAGATAATTTGAAAGAAGACAGTGAGAAAACTGAGCAGCCACAGCCTTACGTGATGGTGGTATCCAATTCCAGTGGATTTACCTCTCAGGTAGCTATGAAACAAAATGAATTGCTGGAACCCAACTCTTTTTAATAAATACACCAAAGGAATTGTGGATGATTGTTTTTTAATTGAACATTTTCAGTTGCCTGCAAACTCTCTGGTTGATTCTAAGAGAAATTCTACAGATGTTCCTAATTTTTTAGCTCATTGTTAAAAATATTAATTTAGAGTTAATGTTGACTTTGTTAGATGAGGGAGGGAACCCCAGTGTTCCTCTTTGTTCTCCAAATGTTTCAGAATTCAATTGTGAAGGAACAGGAATTTTGTACTATGAAGTCCTTCTTTTCAGATTTTTTCTCAGTTGCTATATCGTAAGCATTTTTAAAGTTTCTTTTTCAATTTTTACATGGTATTAGCTTTTCTGATTCTTTTGTAAATACAGTACTTCAATATAAGGCAACAGGAAATTTATGTAGGAACTATTTTCATTCCATTTGTGTAAGTTAAAGTCTTGACTCTTTCAAATGCAAGACACCTGTTTTCTATTTTGTTAAAATTATGATTTCACTTAGATTGACGTTAGTTTGGTTGCACTGTATAAGGCAATATGAATATGTAAAAAAAAAACATGAAAAATTGGAAAATGTCCATGATATGGCTGAACCTTACTTCAGAAGCAGAATGGTACAAAAGCATCAGCCCTTTCAAGAGTGGCTGTCCTGCTAAATAGTTGTATAATGTTGGGCAAAGCCACTGGATCTTTCTGGGCCTCAGTTCTCTCAAAAAAGAAGGGGTGCTTTGGATTAGACTTGATGATCTCCAGTTTGCTTTCTGGTTCTAAATTTGAGGTTTCTAGCACCTCTATTTTAAAGTTAAATCAACTAAAACATTATCACTTATTTCTTAATGTAGATATAGCTAACATATTACAGAAAAGTGGCCCTACAAAATTCTTTCTTCTGTTATCTATAAGATCTGTTATGATTCTGAATTCTTCCTAAATACTTTGTTAATTAACTCTTTAGGCCACTGTGCACTGTGGTCATTAGTAAATTTATGTTGCCAAGTGCTAAACGATATACTGCCATTCTGAAAGATCCAGGGCTCGCTCTTAAGGGCCCAGAAAGCAACCAAGACTTGAGCTAATCTGACTGAGTAGTCAGTTGCTATAAAAGCATAATTGCTTTATATTTTGGATCATTTTTTATTGGGAGTGGGGGGGTTGCATACAAAGATAATATACATTATATCTAAGTCTCTGAAATGAAATAGTTTTTAGATTACTTTTTCAACTGTAAATAATGTACATTTAATTTCACAAGAAAAAATGTTTTCTGCAAATTTTCTAGTACAGCAAAGGAGAAATTTTTGTAGATGAAAAAATCATTATGTTTAGAGGTCTAATGTTATATGTTTTCATATTATGGAGTGAATTTGTATTTAAACAAAAATTTAAATTTTGGAATCCTCTAAACATTTTTGTATCTTTAATTGGTTTATTATTAAATAAATCATGTAAAAATTCTCAGTGTGTTTTCAAACAAATGTCTCTTGAGAACAAATATACAGAGAATGTTGCTAGCATTTACAGTGTTACTAAATGTTCGTATAACAAGCTCCATTGGTCAGATTATAATTGCAGAATTGTCATCCTCTCATTTTTCCTTGCCGCTGTGCCAAACAGTGGTTTCCAGACAGCATACAATGGATCATCAAGCTCTGAAAATTAGAAAACCATAAAATTTTCCCAGCAATAATATTCAACACACTTTACACACTTTAAAAACCAAGGTTTTTTTTTAAACCAAGTTTTTTTTTTTTAAATTTATTTATTTGACAGACAGAGATCACAAGTAGGCAGAGAGGCAGGCAGAGAGAGAGGAGGAAGCAGGCTCCCCGCTGAGCAGAGAGCCCGATGTGGGGCTTGATCCCAGGACCCTGGGATCATGACCTGAGCCGAAGGCAGAGGCTTTAACCCACTGAGCCACCCAGGTGCCCCCCAAGTTTTTTTTTTTTAAAGACTTTATTTATTTATTTATTTGACAGCGATCTCAAGTAGGCAGAGAGGCAGACAGAGAGTGAGAGGGAAGCAGGCTCCCCACTGAGCAGAGAGCCCAATGCAGGGCTTGATCCCAGGACCCTGGGATCATGACCTGAGCTGAAGGCAGAGGCTTTAACCCACTGAACCACCCAGGTGCCCTAAAAACCAAGTTTTCTAATTGGAAAATTTTTTTTTCTAATTGGAAATTTTATCAGCTAATTGTTAAACTTGGAAAACATGGAAACAGAAAAATAGATGAAAATTTAAATATTAATGCAATATCCCTGTACACTTACTCATTTTCTGTCAGTTAATACTCTTCCAAAACATTATTTTAGTGGGAGCATTTCTATCTCTGAAGTCAGAGGGAAGTAGAGAAGAATTTGAATGAATAGGCCTTGCTAAATTTCCCCATGTACTACCCTTCACTCATACCCTTTTTTCCTGTCATTTTTCTTGACTTTCCACTCTATCAAACCTGGTATAAAAATGCTAGGCTTAAGCATTTCTTTGAGTCTTCATTTCCATATGATGTCTCCCGTGTCATGTAAAACATATTAAAATAAATATGCTTTCCTCCTTTAACCTGTCTTTGTCAGTTTGATTTTTAGGTTCAGCTAAGGACCCTAAGAGTCATGGAAAATTTCTTTCTCCTCCAGAACTCTCTCTAGCTATGCATCCCCTAATATAATCTCATTGTATTGAACTCCTAAACAGGAGGATAGTGTTCATTTGATATCTGGCCTTGTCCATCAAATCATTGATTCAACATGTATTTATTCATGTGATGTTATGGTCACTGTCCTTAACCTAAAAACTTGACGCTTTTCTTTTTTTCTATTTATTCTTTAACCCTCTGTAGTATTGCATTCACCCTATTACCCTGAAATAACTGTTGTAAAGGTCACTAACTAGTAATTAATTGCCATATTGCCAAATTTCTATCCTTACGTATTTTCCCTGGCTTTTCTAGTATTTAACCTTTTATAACTCCCTTTTTTTTTAAAGATCTTATTTATTTATTTGACAGAGATCACAAGTAGGCAGAGAGGCAGGCAGAGAAAGGAGGAAGTAGGCTCCCCACTGAGCAGAGAGCCTGATGCGGGGCTCGATCCAGGACCCCGGGATCATGACCTGAGTGGAAGGCAGAGGCTTTAACCCACTGAACCACCCAGGCGCCTCTTATAACTCCCTTTTAAATTCTCTCTTACCTTCACTTTCGTGCCCAGCTTGCTCCTGTTCTCCTCCTGCCTTTAATAATTTCTTAGTATTGCTTCAGAGACTTTTGCAAAGGTTGGAGTTCCCCATGTTTTATCCAACGATCACTGTTCTTTTCATTGTCCTCACCTTATTCCCCTCTCGTCTGTTCTCCCCAGTGCAACGGGAGTGCCAGTTTAATTACTTCAAACCCTTGAGTGTTGAGCCCTTCCTTACTGTCCTCAGAGTTGATGTCCTGCATGGTCTTACCCCTTCTTGGGCCCACCAGCCTTATCTTCAGATTTTACTCTTCAAATCGTAACTGTCAATAACGATTGAGATGATTTCGGTTGCATGAAACAAACAAAAGCCTAATTCAAAATTATTAAATAGTACAGAACAAGAAGTCTAGAGTCGGGTTTCCAGGTTAGTTAATTCAGGAACTCGGGTGATAGTGAGCAACCAGATTTCTTCCTTCTCTGCTTTCCCATCCTCAGGATTTTGGTTTTATTTCTAGGATGGCTTCTGCATAGTTGCAAGACAACTACAGTAGTTTCTACTGTTTCTGTTTTTCGGTAAGAAGACCTTTCCCAGAACACACTGAGCAGCCATCTCTTCTGAGCTCATTGGCTAGATTGATCATATACCCCTTCCAAAACCACCTGCTGGCCAAGGAAGTAGGATGACCATAAATGACTTAGTTGTATGTTGAGGAGATGGAAAGCCAAACAAAATTAGGGCTCCATACCACGAAATAAGAGGAATGATGCAGTCTGCTTTCATCCATACACATCCTCCTTCCTTCACATACACTTTAAAAAGTGCTCATGCCTACATAAAACGTATCTTCCCAAAGAGAGATCACCCGAAGTCTCATCCAGTTACTTGATCCAGTTTTATGACTGGGATCTTTGGGATGATGAACAGTCCTCTTTTTCAGATCAGCTATGCTCCCGGGTTTCTTGTCTTCCCCAGTCACATCTACTATGAGCGCTCAGAAAAAGATTTTTTTCCTAGGATTTCTCAGCTTTAGAATACATTTCTTTTTTTTTTTTAATTAAAGATTTTTATTTATTTTACAGAGATCACAAGTAGTCAGAAAGGCAGGCGGGGGGGGGGGGCAGGCTCCCCGCTGAGCAGAGAGCCCGATGCGGGGCTCGATCCCAGGACCCTGAGACCATGACCTGAGCCAAAGGCAGAGGCTTAACCACTGAGCCACCCAGGTGCCCCTAGAATACATTTCTTGATAACGGTGTGAGTTTGACGCATAGTCCCAGGGTCACCCTATTTCCGTCTGGAAGCATTGTGTCCTCAATGCCTTCCATCCTGCCTCTTCGACATGCCTGGCCTGTTCCGCATACCAGGGTCAGTTGGGAAGCCTTCCACTTCCAAATACCAAACTGTCTGTTAGTGTGAGTTCTTGGTCATTAGCAACAGAAATGGATTCCGGTTTTTAGCATAAAAGAAATGTTATCAGAAGAATATTGCATAGCTCAAAGAATATACAAAAGGACTAGAGAGTCGGGCTCAGTCTGAGTCACACAGCTAGGAACAATCTGCACAACTAGTCTAGCAGGGAAATTGTAGCCACCTCTGCCAAGCACTGAACACCAAGCTTTGTATTACTACTTCTACTGCCTTGGGAATTTGATCTTGATAGGAGTGCTACTACCTCTAGAATTAACCAAGGTACTTCCTTGATTCATTGTGTCAACTAGCTACCAATTTATGTGACTGGCAGAGCCTAGGTCAAGTGTCCAGACAGGACTTGAACCCCAAAGCAGACTGAGAAAGCAATTTTAGCTTTTCGACTAGTTTGGCATTTTTTCAGCTTCTATAGAGGAGGCTGCCTGAGTGGGAATTAAGACTCAAGGAATCCCCCAAACATAAGGGGGCTGAGATTACGAGCTGCCCAAAAGAATGACCTATGTCTTCCGCGAGGGAAAATCCAGATTTTGTGGAGCTTGAATTTACACAATTTGGTGGTTGGGTGGGTGAAGGGGACATAGGAAAAAACACAAACCCCTGCATCTGCTTTGCACAGCTTATCTCATTCTTTTTTTTTTTTTAATTGAGTAATCTCTACACCCATTGTTGGGCTCCAACTCATGATCCCGAGATCAAGAGTCACATGCTCTTCCGACTGAGGCACCCAGGTGCCCCCAGTTTATCTCATTCTGTTGGGCTAACTTCTACCTGTTCTTTGAACCTCGGCTTAGACATTACTTCCTCTTGAGAGCTTTCTCTGAGCTCTTAGAAGCTTCCCACTGCTGTCATAGAGCCTTTTAATTCCTCCCACTTGGGCACATAAAACATGATGATAATAATTGCTGGCTGATAGGTGTGATTCCAACACTGTAAAAGCCAAACTTGTAGTCATTTTAGTACT